CTTTTTTTATCAGGGTGTTCATGTATTCTTTATCGTCTTCTTGGATGCTTCTGTGTTTTTTAGCCGGATATTTGCCCGTATGTTGGGCGGGCGGTGTCAATGGTTGAGGCTATTTGCTGTGGGAAGTGTGGCCGGGTGGCCATTTCCTATAGCTGAGGGCATTGGGTTGGTGGGTGTGGGTTTAGACGGGTAGCATTCGTCTTGGAGCCTCTTGCTCTGTGCTCGGTGCGCTGGCGTGGGATAGGATGGTTAAAGATCCTCCTCTTTGCCCACGCTTGAGCTTCGGTGCTCATTCCCAGCATACCCAGCTACTTGTTGGGGTCGGTTTATGATATGGATCTGCCTGCCAGTGTGTTGGGCTGATGTCTCAAATGGGTGACCATTTGGCTCGATTGGTAAAGACGTTTTTTGGCTTTGCTTTTCCGTACACGCTAGGCGGGTATGGGATGGGACGTGTAACGTCCCTTGTGGTTGTCCATCACGGTGCTTCAATACTCTTTCCCAGTTCACCCAAATATTGCTGGCGCGGGGACGTCCTCCGGGTCCATGTGTCAGCGTGTTGGGTCGACGTCTCAGATGAGTATGCCTATTGGCTGTGGGTATTGCTGTTTTATACGTTGGGTAAAAGCGCGCCATCCGCTCGGTCATTCAGCACCCCTTTGCTCCACGGCTAGCCAGTCTTATCCTTGCGGTCTCGCGTGTCGGTGTGTGCATGAGTTTTATTTCCAGTATGTGGGTTCAATGTCCTTACAACCGGGCAGGGGGGTGTTCCAGCGCGAAGACCCAGGTGTGCTTGCTTCCCCACGTTCTTTGCTCCCACTCCTTCATGTTCACCCTCTCACATCTAAGAAAGCACACCGACTTCCTCTCTCTCCACTTGGCTAGAATGGAATGGGTTCTGTGAGTTACTTCATAGGCCCTCCCACCAGGCAGCTGAGGTTGGTATGCTCTTCCTTTCTTGTGTGTTGTTTCTTATGCACGCTCACCATCCATTTTATTTCCCCTTGCGTCTGCAGGTATTTGCAAGCTTCTTGTCGTAATTCGATTGCACTTGTTCTTTGACGTGAGCTATCTCTTCGGTCCGTTGCCCTCCCACCAGGCAGTTGAGGTTCGTACATTCTTTCTTGTTGCCCTCCCACTCGGCCACTGATTTTTGACCCCGTTCCATACACTGACCTTATCTCGCATATGTGTTGTCCCTCGGTGCTTGGTGCTCATCCGCCTATGACGTATTCTCCTCTGGCGCCCTTCACAGACTATGGTGGTCGCTCTATAGGGACTCCTCTCATGACCTCTGCTAGTGGTGAGGGCGCTCTACATCGACTCTCCCTAAGATCTTCATCTACAGTGTTAGTCCCCGTCTCTCCACCGACTACATCTCACACATGTGCCTTCCATTGGTGCTTGGTGTTTGTGTGCCTACGACCTCGTCTCCTTCACCGCCTCCTCTAGTGGCTTCCATGCGCATTGGTGGCCACTCCTCTTCTTGGTGGCCACTCCTCTTCTTGTGCTTCAGTGGTGTTTGTCACGAGGAGGAGGTTCCATGACGTCCACACCTGCTTACTGCTTCTGGGTCTCCATCACCCTATGCTTTTTGCGTCGACCCCTTTAGTTGAGCATCTCACTATGCTGGAGATTACTTGACTTCAGTGTCTATCTTTGTTAGGTGCTTCTTACGGTTCTCTATCAATAGGTTTTGCTGGTTCTGCTAGTGATTCTTCTGGTACTGAGAGTCCCCTTTTTACACAGTCATGTTACAGTCATTTTACACAGTCAGGTACATCCACATGGGTCTTGATACTGGAGCGTCTTTTCATATGACTTATGATCCTTCTAATTTGTCCTCCCTTTGACCTCTCGATTCTCATGTTCATGTTCTTACTGCTGATGCTACTTTCCTCCTCGTCGATAGTCGAGGCATTCCTAGCACTTCGCCTTTTCATATTTAATTTGTTGCTCTTGTTCATTGCATTACCATGCAACTCCTTTCTAGTGGTGAGATTGTCGAATATGGTTGTAGGGTCATTCTTGAATCTTGGTCTGTTCAGGATCGCCACACAAGTGCTCTACTTGTGCTGGTCACCGCGGCCATTACTCCCAAGGCCTCTTGAGTGTTTGGCTTCACCTTCCCTTCGCTACCACCGTCGCCAGCCTCTCCACCTTTGTTGCCTCGTCTACTGGATCTTTTCAACAGTGGCACCATCGTCTTGGTCACTTATGTGGGCTCGTCTCTCATTCTTAGTTCAACATGGTGTTCTTGGATCTGTCTAAAGTGGCGTGTCTCTAGACTATCAGGGTTGTCGGCTTGGTAAACAGGTTGGGTGTGTCTTCCTAGGTTATAGTGAAGAGCACAACGGCTATCAATGTTGGAATCTTGTTGATTATTGGATGCGGATTGTCGGGTTACGACTTTTGATGAGTCTCGTCCTTACTATCTGCGTTCATGCTCTCCTTTGGCCTTCTAGATTGAGGACATTTCTTTTGCTCACTTTTCCCGATACAACTATCACTCATGTTTTGCCCTCATCCAACCATTCAACCGTGCCTACACATACTATTGTTGTGGAGCCCGTGTCATCGTCACCTGTGACTTCCCCACCTTGTTCATCACCTGAGGCTACCTCACATCGCCTGTCTCCCGAAACTTTCTCAGTGATTCATCCTCGTCCTCTTCTTTACTACACTTGACGTCCATGTGCCGTGAATTCTCCTAATGCTCCATCTTCTTCTGATGAGCCATCTCCCTCGACTACTATGTCTCCTTCTGCTGGTGATGCACCACCTACCTATGACTTACATGACCGCCCGCTTTTGCCTGTTGACCGCTATGTTTTTTTGGGTGCCACTGTTCTTGAGCTGACTTCTTATCATGACACTATTGTTCATCCGAAATGGCGGCATGCGATGGAGAGGAGATTTCTTACCCTGACCACACCGACATGCGGGATCTTATCCCCCCCTTTCGTTCCTCCCATCACTAAGTGGTCTACAAGGTTAAGGCTCGTTCCAAAGGTTCTACTGAGCGCTACAAATCTCATCTTGTGGGTCATGGCTTTCAGCTGGAGCATGGTCATGACTACGATGAGACATTTGCTCTTGTAGCTCACATGATCATCGTTCGTACACTTCTCGTTGTGGATTCTATTCAACATTGGCTTGTCTCTCATCTTGATGTCAAGAATGCATTTCTTAATGGTGACTTTCATGAGGAAGCCTACATGCAACGACCACCTGGGTATTCTGTTCTTGATGGCATCGTCTATCGTCTTTGTCGCTCTCTCTATGGCCTTAAGCAAGCCCCTCGTGTCTGGTATGAGCGTTTCGCCTCAAAGGTGATTGTGGCTGGTTTTTCAGCGAGTGCTCATGATCCTGCACTTTTTTTCCACCTTTCAGCTCATGGTTGGACTCTTCTTCTTCTATATCTTGAGTACATAGCCTTTGTGAAAACTCATCTTGAGCAGTTCCTTACTATTGAGACTCCGATGGAGCTCAATCCACCTTCGTGCTTCTAAAGGGGAGCCTTTGTTTGATCCGACGCACGACCGTCATCTTGTTGTGAGTCTTGTCTATCTAGTTGTCACTCACCTAGACATTTCCAATCTCGTTCACATTCTAAGTTAGTTTGTCTCTTCTCACACTTCAGACAACTACAGTCACCTCCTACGTGTTCTACGATATCTTCGTGGAACAATCTCTCGCCGTCTATTCGGCTTATTCGGATGCTATTTGGGCTAGTGATCCTTCTTATCACTGTTCCCTTTCTGCTTATTATGTCTTCTTGGTGGTTCCCTCATTGCCTGGAAGACAAAGAAATAGATTGCAATTTCCCGTTCGAGTGCAAAGGCTGAGTTGCAAGCTATGGCTCTTTTGACAACAGAGATGACTTGGCTATGATGGCTGCTTTAGGATTTTGGTGTTTTTGTCACTAACCTACTCTTCTCTCATGAGACAGTAGAAGTGCTATCAGTATTGTGCGTGACCCTTTGAAACATGAGTTAACCAAGCATATTGGTGTTGATGCTTCCTTTGTGCGCTCCAGTGTGCAGGATCAGATTATTGCTCTTTAGTATGTGTAGTCTGAGTTACAATTGCCAGATTTATTTACAAAGGGTTAGACTATAGCACAACATGACTTCTACCCCTCCAAATTTAGGGTTCTTGATCCACCATGAGTTTGAGAGGGGGAGGGGGTGGGGGGGAGGGGTGTTAGAGTTATATATATTTGTCCATGTACCCTTTGTATTTTCCCTGTTCTATAAGGAGCTTTCTACATATTGTACCGAACCTGTATATGCATATATACTGGCCTATGGCCACATGAGAATACAAGTTGCATATTACTTAACAACATTTAATTCCCAAATCCCAAGTCATTTTATTGCATGGCCAAATGCTTATACTAGTAACAAACAAATGCAACAATGACAAGAAAGAGCAAAATAAATGTCAAATAATACACAATTCTACTCAGAATTATAGCGAAGTTCTAATAGTGAAGCATAGACCCCATCCTTGATTCGCACCAGGGCCTCATGCTTTCCCTTCTCTGCAATTTTTCCTTCCTTGATGACTGCAATCATATCAGCCCCTTTGATCGTGGAGAGGCGGTGTGCCACCACTATGGTGGTCCTGCTCACCATGACTCGATCCAATGCATCTTGAACGATGCGCTCCGATTCCGCATCCAGGGCACTGGTTGCCTCATCAAGTAGTAGTATCTTGGGGTCCTTTATAATGGCCCTTGCGATAGCTACCCGCTGTTTCTGCCCACCAGATAGTTGCACTCCTTTCTCGCCAACCGGAGTGTTGTATCCATGTGGCAAGCTTGATATGAATTCATGAGCATTTGCTGCATTGGCCGCAGCTGTGACTTCTTCGTTAGTCGCTTCTCCATTTTTTCCATATGTTATGTTTGCACGGATTGTGTCGTTGAAAAGCACTGGCTCCTGGCCTACCAGCCCCATCTGATCCCTTAACCAGCTAATTCTCAAGCTCTTAATTTCGACTCCATCTACTGAGATTCTACCAGAATCAGGATCATAGAAACGCTCAAGTAAAGCAATTATTGTGGACTTGCCACTACCACTTTCTCCAACTAGTGCTATGGTCTGAAAATGGAAGGAAAAGGTTTCAACATAGCAGTTTTTGTGGTTGTGAACGATCATGTGTGAAATAAATCTGCTGAAAGCTTCTTATGTATGGTAACACTAACTAGATACATCACCTTTTAAGCTGTATCTTGATTTTATGCCAAGAGGTGGCACTTAAAGTTAGTTATCTGAATGGAAACAATTGGGTGTAACAATGATAAACAAGACTATTAAAGGTTGCAAATCATACCTTTCTGGAAGGAATGTGCAATGTAAAGTCACTAAATATTTGAACATCAGGGCGTGATGGGTACTTGAAACTGACATTACTAAAATCAATGTCGCCATTGACATTTTCCAACATGAGGCCCTCATCACTACTTGTATCGATTTTTGACTTCCGATCTAGAATACTGAAAACAGAAATGGCCGAATGCGTTGCCTTTGTCGCATTAGATGCCAATGCACTTGCCTGCGAAACCCCAACAGCTGCCAAAACTAAGGCAAAGAAAACCTGAAAAGTATCCAATGAATTGGTGAATGATTACTAAAACTTAATGTCCATATACAAATTGGTACTTCAAATAATTTAGCAATTCTTACTTTGAAAACATCTGCAAAAGTAGTTTTTCCCTGGCGAACAAACTTTGCACCAACATAGAAACATAGAGCATATGTCAGATACAACACTAAGAGTGAGAAACCAAAACCAAGCCCTCCGACAATTCCAGTTCGAATTCCTTGTTTCCTTAATGCTTCACATTTCTTGTTATACGTTGTAACCACTCTTTTCTCTGCACAGAAAGATGCTATAGTTCTGATACTACTAACAGCATCAGTTGCAACTTGACTTGCATCTTCATACATCTCCTGCAAAATAATAATAAGACCACATTATCGTGATAAGAGATTCCATGGTACTTAGGATTGCTCTCCTGAATCAAACAGGAAATAAATTGTAGAGTTGTTATTCGTCACCTTAGCTTCTTCACTAAACCCCTTGAAGAACTTCACTTGAGCATAACCCTGTGCACCCACTAAAGGAATGACACAAGTGATAATGAGTGCAAGCCTCCAGTCCGCTGTAAATGCTATGAGAAAGCCAGTGATTATTGCGGCTGTAGACTGCACTATAATTCCCAGATTATCTCCAACTAAGCGCCGAACATTTAATGCATCGACTGAGAGCCGTGTACCAAGTGCACCACTGTAAGTGATAAAGCAGAATCTTAGTATCTGTGTAGATCTATGTACGAGAAGATAAAATAATTGAGATGATTTGAAATATGATAGTACCTCGAATTTGAGGGATTATCAAACCAAGCAATTTCCTGATGCACAATATTTTGAAATGACAGAGTACGAACACGCTCTATAAGCTTGCCACCAGCAATTCCAAACAAAAGATATTCTGCAGGGATTGCAATGAAAGCTGCAACCCCCAGAACAACAGCTATCAATGCCCAAAAGCTAGAATCTTTTCGCAGCTTATCTGGTGGCTCGTAGAATGATTTTATAACGCCAGACATTAGTATGCCAAACAATGGGAAAATGATTCCATGCACCGATGCTGCTATAACACCGAGCAGAAGAAATGGCACCTCTGGTTTGTTAAGATTAAAAAGGCGTCCAATTGGTGCTTTCTGAAGGGTCTTCCCATCAGGAAGGTCCTCTTTGTTCTGCTTGCCTATGATTTCATCCTCATGAGACTCATCAGATCTGAAAGAGTATCTATTGCTATTGCCAAAGGAATCTTTAGTCACTGACCGTCTAATTGACAAAGTAGTGCTTTTTAATAAGGAATTGGGCACTCCAGGATCCTGTATTTTACGTCTTTCATTACCATGGGTTTCTTGTAGCCTAATAAGCTGGGAGTAAGCTCCACCGGGATCCTTCACCAATGCTTGATGAGGACCTGTACATATAGGATACGTAATGGGGTGAATGAGTCATCATAGGTTGACAATAGAAATTCTCTAGAATGGGAAAAGTAATGTATATTCAAGAGATTCTAACCTTGTTCGACTATTTTCCCTTGATGAACAACTGTGATGCAGTCTACATTCCTTACAGTGCTCAAACGATGAGCAACGATAAGTGTGGTTCTTTCTACCATTATCCTATTGAGTGCCTCCTGAACTATCCTCTCAGATTCCACATCCAGTGCACTTGTTGCTTCATCTAGCAAAAGAATTTTTGGATCTTTAAGGATGGCTCTTGCAATTGCAATTCTTTGTTTTTGTCCTCCAGAAAGCAGAGTGCCATGTTGGCCAACCAATGTATTGTATCCCTGGTATGAAATTAGAATTTTGTTAGCTTAAATTTCAAGAAGTTATTTGAAGCACTCAATCTTTATTTACATACATTCGGCAACTTGTCGATGAAGCTTGCTGCATTTGCGAGCTCGGCTGCTCTCTTGATTTCTTCAAGAGTTGCATCTTCTTTACCATAGATTATGTTATCTTTAATGGAGGTCATAAACAGCGACGGTTCTTGGCTAACAAGGCCGATCTTCCCTCTTATCCAATCAAGATTCAGATTCTTGATGTTTACTCCATCTATCAAAACTTCGCCAGCCTGTGGATCATAGAATCTTTCAACTAGGCTGATCACAGTTGACTTGCCACTTCCGCTCTCTCCAACTATGGCCATTGTTGTTCCACTAGCTACTTGTAATGACAGTCCATCTAATACTAACTGCTCGGGTCTTGCAGGGTAGCTAAAGTGTACATCCTTTATCTCAATATCACCCTTGATATTTTCCAAGACTATGCCGCTGGTATCATCTGAATCTATCCCGGGTTTCCTCTCAATCGTTTCGAACAGTCTGTATGCTGCAGATTGACCTCCCACAATTGCAGAAATTGATGGTGTTGCATTACCTAACGAGCTGTTACAAAAAATTGGAGAGTGCCCTGTTTAGGACATTAACATACGAGTACCATATGCAATAGTCACTTTTTTATTTCTTGGCCTGAAGTACAATTTTAAAATAACCACTAATCCTTCACGTATGTGTGCTTTGCTGAGGAAACATAAAATGAAAATAGAATAATTTACACCTGGTTAAAAATTGTGCTTACTGTGGTCGATTTGGTTGATCTGTCTAGCAAGAGGTTTTTTTTATAATTTGATCCCCAAAAGTAGAAATGTAGATCAGACTATTTTTCTTTAGAATTTATGGTAGATATTTTAGGATTATTGTTGGATTTCTTCTATCCTCAAGGAGAAGGAGGCACCTTGAATCTTGTGGGCTATTTGTATTTATATAAAACAATTATTATCCTTGAGCTCAAGCATTACAATTGACATTATTTACCACTAAACGTAATAAATAAGTAATCAAATATGAACTATCTAAACGTAATATCTGAACACGCCTTGAAAGGTACATCAAATTGCCATGTAAAGTTTCTTATAGAATTTACAGAAAACTATGTATTCACAAGGCATGCGTAAGAAAAAAGGTTATCTAGATTTTAAAGTTTTATTATGTAATGTTTTATATTTTCATTCATTCAATTAGCTCTTCAATAAATTGAGGGTTATATACAGCAAATATTAGTACCGATCAGCGTAATGATTTCAGGAACTCACGTTGCGCCAGTCAATACGGCAAACAAAACAGTGATGATTTTCCCTCCGGTATAACCTTTGTCAATGATTAGCTTTCCACCATACCAGAAGGCTAGGCCATAGCTGCTAAATATGATGCAGAAGACAGAGCCCATGCCAAAACCACTTACAAGGCCTTCCTCAACAACAGTCATGTATGCATTTTTTATGAATTTATTGTACATTTCTATAGCCTTTTTCTCGCCATTGAAGGACACAACCTGTTAACATGAGTTGCTAGATTAATGGCTGCTACAATTTGAAATAACTGAGATAACTGATACAGTTTCCAATAACTGATATAATTTGAACTCACTGTTCGTATAGATCCAATTGTAAGTTCAACTGTGTCTGCAGCATCACTATAAGATGTTAGTCGCTTGCTAGAAACCCGGGTTAGCAGTTGTGCAGATACTGAACCAGCGATAGCAATTAGTGGTAGTGATGTTAGCATGGCAAGGGTAAGGAGCCAGCCTTTTGTGAATGCTATGATAAAACCCCCAAAGAAGGCGGATGTGTGTTGTACAAGCTTCCCTGCCTGTAAATCAGAATCAATGAATGTCAGCAGTTGGGCTGCATAGAATGTATGAAATACACTCAGGTAAGTAGAACAAAAATTTCTGTAGTAGCGATAAAAATACTGATGCTTGCATTTGACTTTTGCGCACCTTTCAGTGTGTTGAAAAATATTATGTTTCTTGATTTAGTACCACAACAAAAGTATTACCTTCTCACCAAGAGCATCTTGAATCATGACCGTATCGCTAGACATTCTAGAAACTGCTTCGCCTGTTGTCATTTGTGTATCGAAGAATGCAATGTCTTGCCTCAGAACTGATTTCAGGTACAAGGAACGGATGCGGGACGAGTGCCTTTCGCCTGCCATCGTCCAGCACGACACCTCTAAAAATGAATAAAGGGTGAGCCTAACTAGCATTTCTGCCATTAGCATGTAATTTAACTACACATATTCCATATTAGGAATGCAATTGGTACTTCTCATGGGATGAATACAGGATTACTGATGATGATTGCTCTGTTGATCATTGCATCTGCTTGTTCATCACTCAAGCGAGAACAAACTTGCGCACCCTATCTCGGTCACACACCAAAATATGCATCCTTTTGTATTAAGATGAAGACAACAAGGACGACAAAACTCACCCGACAGCTAAGTACACAAAAACACAACTTAAACAACAAAGAAGAAGGGAAAAGCGGACCAACCTACACTAGCCAACAGAAAACAAATATCAAGCTACGGCCAAGGGGCCAAGCCCACGTGTCCTTGTGTTCCACTTATTCAGTTACGAAAAGTTTCAATTCGAAGTAGTATCAGTGTGAATATGTATCCTTTTGTTGCGCATCTCTGTTCATTTCACTGACCACTGCTTGTCAATTTTATACCTTGGAGATGCGATTGAGTTTGATATTAAATTTTTACAAGCTTGTCACTCTCCCCATGGAGAAAGCTGGTTCCCAACTTGGTTACTATCCTCTGCATTTTAGTTTATTTGAAAATGCTATATGCTGAATGTATAACCATCTTTTCATGTGTAGTATTTGCTTGACGTCTAAAGTTTGACTGGCAGGAAACATGCACTCCAAGAATATATTGGATGGAGATTCCACTTACGAAGGAAAGAAGCCACTGCTGCCGCAACGCCCAGATATATGAAGTTGAGACAAACCTGGAGATCGAAAGAACATTAATTCTCTGTTAAATCGTCTTGCCACTCTTCAAATTAAGGGAGTGATCACCGTAGCGTTCACCTTGGTGACAGCGCGGAGGACGGTGCTGGTCGTGCTCTGGCCGAAGGAGTTGATGACGTCTCCAAAGAGGATGGATATGAGGGGCTCCGACACGCCATTCGCCACCGCCCCCAGCGAGCCGACCGCCATGAGCAGCACGTCGAGGCGGTCGGCGTACCTGAACATGTCCAGCAACGGCACCTTCTTCTCCGGCCGGTCACCTTTTCCTCCACTACTAGCTTCTGCTGTCGCGTCCATTTCCTGGCTGCTAAGCTTCGCTGATGTGCTCGGCGAGCCCGGCCGCACCGTGCGTGCGCGGTCAGTCAGGTCAGATGGATTCCGTTTCTCTTGTGATCACCTGGCATGCGCTATTTTTCACCGATAACTGTTCTTGGAGAAAAGGGAGGTGTAGATAGATACAGTAAGCTGATATGACCATGGAATATATAGATTACTATGGTTGCCTTTGCATCGTCCGTGGAGGGGTGGACGGAGATGGGCAGACGTCAGAGGGGACGCACACATGCAGCTAACTTGGGCACAACGTCTGGACGACACAAGTACAACCCAGACGCCTTGCACCGTTGCACAGTTAAGCACACGAGGCGTCTTGTTCCTTTCTACCGTGCGCCTAGCTTTCAGCTTCACATCCAATCCAAGAAGATGTAGCCCGTAGGTGCAATCCGCAGACAGAGACTTTCGTTTAACTTTTTCTGAGGGGCCAATGCATGTGGCATCCCATATCCAATATTTATCAAGAAAACACATTAGTCGGTTGGAAAAGCTTAAGCAGCATGACACAAAACGGTCGCCTGCAAAGTGCAAACGCCCTCGTTGTAAGTGTAGAGGGGCAGAGAAAACAACCAAAACAGCGAGCTAGATCTTCACAGGCATTTTAGCAAACATCTTATGTGCATGCAGGAAATCTAAAACAAATCATGAAATCCACATGCACCCAGCTATCCATGGTTCGCCACAATAATATAGTTGCAAGAGCTCAATACAACATCAGTACCCCAGCATAATCATCAACATATCAAAGAACTCATGTATGTCATGCCTCCAATGTCAACACAACCATACCACTCCCCAAACTTAAGCAATAGGCACTTGAGCAGCAACCAATGTGACAAGAACAAAAAAGTTCAATTCGATTTGCATTCACGAGCTAGGAGAGAGACATAAATAAACAACCTTGTAGAAATCCCCTTCGGCTTGGTAACTATGTCAAACATCCCTTATTTTATCCTACAACATGCATGTCTATATGTTGTTTTGCATGTTAGAATGGCCAAAAATACTTCTAAATGCTGAAGAGCTGCACATTATCATACTTTTCATACAAGGCTTTGTAGTCTCCAATATCGTCATGCCGCTCGCAATGAGGTTTAATATCAATTGGGGCATTATCACACACATCACATGCTTGCAGTTGTTCACCATCAATTTAGAGGGTTGGAGGCCTTGCCACCGAACAGATCAAAATAATGGGTTGAAGTCAATGCACCAAGAGCTAGCCAACTGCTTTCCTTGATTGACACACCAACTACTGAGATTCAAAGAGAGCCAGTAGGCTTGGCAGAACCTACCCTCATAGGCTCCTCATGGGCATTGGACCGGATGTCGTCGAGATAGGAAGAGGGCGAAGAGATCTTACTCCGACGTGCCATCGCCGCCGCCACCACGCTGATGCCGTAGAACCAAACCAAGGGAAACAAAGACGTACTAGAACTAAGAACACAGAAAGGGGCATGTCCACACTCATCAGGTTGTCGTCGTGGCCGCCGGACGAAAGAGAGGAGGGGGGTCGAGGCGACACTGTGGAGGAACCCTGGCACCGAGAATTTGGGACGAACGGGTAGAATCTACAAGATGGTACCACATGGGTCCGTTGTTGACTTCGCTTGTTTTGATCATCACCTAACATGTTCATTCAATGACCAATCAATATTTGTTTTCTCAAGGTGAGATCAACATATTGTTCCACAATAGAGTTTTTTTTGTTTTTGGAAAAGTTAAACCCCTTCGTACTAACCTTGCTCAATGTACCAAGAGAGATGACCATGCTCTTCAGGATCGTCTCCGAGAATTTAAGGCCGCGGGACAAAATGCAAGATGGAGCCTTGTTTTTTTAGAGAAGAAACTAGTATAACTAAAGAACTATTATACCTAAAGTGTACTCTCACTTAGTTGCATAACTTCAAATATTTTTTTTGTACGAGATTTAGAAGTATGACAAATATTAATGCTAAAAGAGTACAAATATTGTTAATCTTATGTTATACGAAAATCAACATATGTCTAGTATTTCTTGAAATGGAGTCTTCACTTATATCTTCATAATTAATCCTCTCCAACAATCATTTTCAAATGCTATTTGTCATCCATCCTTCGAACATTTCTTGTTTCATAGTAGAACACATGTAGGATTTTAATAACTTCATTGTAGAAAAGCTCCTTTCCGCATATGTAATAGTCACATGAATGGTTCGAAAATGTCAGATGCATAGATTTCTTAAGTAAATCATGAACAAAAATTAACTCACAACACAAATCAAGTCCAGTGGTATTTTTATGTTCTCAACTCTTAAATGCATCCTCAAGATTAACACAACCAATCATCAAACTCTTACGATCCAAGGGCAGCAGTCGATCTGAAGTTAACAATAAACTAAATGCTTTTGCATACCATTGGTATTGTTCAAATCCCCAAGTAAGTGAAGCTATAGCTTGAACAACAATAGATATAAAATTATTGGCCCTAAATGACTCCTCTATAGAGTGTGTATCAAAAAACGCCTCGTTTGCACCCTTATCAAATTGTCTTCTGACTCTTACTCTTGGTACAAAACTTTGGATGAACATCCATCTCCATAGTATTTTCTTTGCAACTTCTAATGCATTTGAAAAGCTACTCTCTATACTTAGTAAAAAAGGAAACCATCCCTATACAAACTCTATTACAATACCCATCCAAGCGCCTATGTGGGTTTTGGTGTAGATGTCTATTAATTAGGAGAGTAACCATGTGTAGTAAGCGTATGAAATAGGTGTTAGTCCATATGGTTTAAATCATGTGTGGTTCGGGACCCTACATACAAAAAGACAGAGGACGACGATGTATTCCAATTGTTTATTTTATTTATGTTTGAAGCACAGGAAAGTTGTACTATAAAGAGGGATCACATGATGAACTTCAGCTGGAATCATATATCCTAAAAAACATCCCTTACTCCACATCCTAAGTTTGAGAAAAATCCCAATTGAAAGCCATGAGTAAGCCCCATTATATCACCCATTTCCCGGCTTTCTGTGTGCGCCCGGAGGTTGCATCTAGAGGCTCCGGACCAACCCCCAGGGCTCCGGATAGTGATCTTTGAATAATCGAGGGTGATACATTAACATCTAGATCCTCCCATAGGTTTTCCAAAAT